TAAACTCGAATTTTGGTGTGATAAACTCGAATTTTGATGTGATAAACTCGAATATTTAAAACCGGTTCCAACCTCTAACCATCACCATAGAGCAATATTATTCATTGCTGCATAAACACCCATATTAACAGATATTTTATAGCATTCAAACGCTTTATAATAATAATTATCAACCCCTCTTCCATATCTATAACAACGACCAACATTACACATTGCCGTAGCATTATCCAAATCAGCAGACCTCTTATAATATTAAAATGCTTTCTGGTAATTTCTTTCGTCTTTCTTAACACCAATACCATGTTGATAATTGTAACCAAGTGTACGAAGTTGTTCAGAATCCATTTTTTTTAAGAAAGAAAAAAAATCATGCTCTAATAAACTTTAATTGTTCGGAGCTTAACAATGTCAGAGTAATACAAAAATTACAACAATAAGTTAATTGACACGCTGCCTATCAAAAATGTAATTTTAAAAAATTTCATATATAAGTTTATATAGTATATATTATTACGTATAAGTAAGTACACTACATAATACTATATAATTAATTCTCATCATAGCTGTATATTCTCAGCAGTGTGAAGATATAATGATTTGTTTCCTTAGGGTCTTAGACAATTTGCATGTTTTGATATAGAGCCCGTTAATGATAATGAAGTTCAACTCTGGTCTATCAGATCGGGTAATTCCAGTATGAAACATTCGTACAATTCTTTTCGCTATACGTAAACGGATAATTGATATACCATGACCAACCGAAAACGTTAAAATGTCAACTTCTGAGCGAAACAACGCGCAGGGGTGAAATTATGAATTCCGGCCTAAATTAAGCTTAATTCGGGCCGAACCTCGAAATAACGCACATGGTCGTTATTCACGGTATGTATAAATTAATACATAGCGTCACCATCGTATAGAAGAGCATAAATTTTATGATAGGCTAAAGGCTTTATACATTCTGCGCTAACGTTAAGCTCATAATGTCTATGCTACTAAATCTAATTTGCACATGTTTTCGCATAGATAACTTGTTTATACAGCCGTGTATACGTGGCTTAGAGAAATTCACATGGGTTAAGCACCAAGAATACATAATAATGCCTAACACTAATACTACTAACGCTAAGGTAAGACATCTTAATGAAAGGGTAAATATGGAAATGAGATTCATAGAACAGAATTACGCAATAGACAAGCGCTTCTAAAAGAAACCAAAATTTCAGGCATTGAATTTTCAAGAGTGATTTAACTCAAATTCTAAAGTCTAGTTTGCTTTTAATACGTAGTACCCAAATACAAACAAAAAATTGTCACTTAATATTTTTGTATATTTCTTTATACAGTATAAGCCGCATCTTGTACTTAATATGTAGCCACACACAAAATATTTTTATATGTAACGTATGTACATACATCAACATGGCTTAGCTTAGTCTTTTCTAAGGTCTAGGAGGATTTGACCTTTGTCAAGAGCATTTTACCTTTCACCAAGAGACAAAAAAATGGTAAATACAGAAAGAGAAGCTGACCATGTTGTAGTAAGGCATTATACCGTTATTAGGAAGAATCCTCGAATGGGATATCACAGTGGTATTGAGAAGCATGGGCTTCAGAAGAGTCGATGCTTTAACAGGGCGGATATGGAATTTGTACACACAGGGTAAGTTTTTCTCACTGATTATCCGTCAAGTCATAAGTATATCTGAAATTACACTGCTATATCTGTGTAATGAAATCTGATAGAGAATTGAAAGCTCATTGTGGCAACTATTTTGATAGTTAAACATTCTTCTCTATCAGTTATGGATGTTCCTGTAATTAAATTGGCCCTCTCTGTGTTAGAGGCACTTTCTGTATTGGGAAGTGTTCTGCTAGGAAGTTGGTGAATAGGATATACTCTGACATTGAAGCGCCATACATCCTTGTTAGTTGATTATGATGACACAAATATTCACTATTTATTATTTATTCTATAGTGGACCTGGTGACAGGGGTAGAGATATTATATGCCGAATCGCCGGGATCACTATTGTGATTCAATGCAAGAACTACAGGTGTCGACATTATTATATGCCGAATCGCCAGGATCACTATTGTGATTCAATGCAAGAACTACAGGTGTCGACATTATTATATGCCGAATCGCCGGGATCACTATTGTGATTCAATGCAAGAACTACAGGTGTCGGCATTCAAATTCGAAGAAACTAAGAAAATATTAAAATATAAGACCTACTTAATAAATACACAAGTTAAAATATACATAAAAATGAGGATCAGCTTTTATATTTATACAATATCTGTTTGAGCCAGAAGAAGAGGAAGAGGAAAATTAAAAAAAAGTGTATTTTCTTTTTTTTTAAATATATATTTATAACTATTATGATTTTATTTTTGTTTCTCATAAAATTTGTATTATTAAAAATTTTGTATATAATCTAAAAAAACAACATACGTTAAAGATTTTGTGCTAGATATTGAATTCCTAAAATATTTATTATAATTTAGACTTAATCAGATTCAATATTTACAAAGACTGAATAATTCTTTGAGTAATTCGAATAAATAAAAGAAAAAAAAAAGACTCTGTATCGCAGTTACATGTATGAATTTAAAATTGATACCGATATACTTCGTGTGATTCAGATGTCTTAATAATTAATTTATTTTTTAATTAAAACAAAGTATTCTGATTATGCAATTTCGACGTATTTTTCTTAAATTTGTCTTTTTTGTTCAAGATACAGTACGATGATTATTATCGCAGAAAATATTTTCTCATAAAATATTATCTTCAGTTCGATTGCTTCAGTATTTTGGCCTCAACATCATTCTAAAATTGGCTAATATAGCAAATAAACTATTACTATCTATTAAAATCAATTGACGTATTAAAAGATATTTCAATTCAAAATTTCTTATCTTCACATGACTTTTAATGTTTTTCGAGAAAAATCATGAAAATTACTTTAATAATGTTTAAGTAAAAGAAAAATATATATAACTATCGCTATAATAATAATACAAACAAAAACAATTAATATTTCAAAATGTTTATGCTCAAGTTCAAATAGTTATAATCAGTGTTGGGCTCTGGACCAAAAGTCCGCTCTACTGGACTTATAGGTCCAGTGGACTATTTATAAGTCCGGTTCCAGTTTAATTTTACTGGACTTATAAGCGAGCTCAACACTGGTTATAATATACTAAACTTCAATTTTGATTTTTTTAAGAATTTGAAATGAATATCCAATTCAAAATCTTTATCGTTAATATAATTACTATATAAAGTATTCCTCAACTTTATGTATGCAGTGGTTTTATTAATTCACTAATTATTTATTTAGGCCTTTATATTTTATTATTAAAGCTAATCCAAACTTATGATAGTAAAAGTAGGAAGCAAAAAAAATTATACAAATGTACTATCAAAACTTTTTTTAGCAAGCTTATATTTCAGGAAATTAAAAATAGGTTTAATCAATCACTGGGTTATGAGATATTTCAATTTGTATCCAATTTATCACTCATAATAATGCACTAGACTATTAGATGAAGATACGTATTCGGATCCTTCACCTTTTTTTTTCTCTATTAGACTTCTCTCAGTTTAATGAATCAAATGATCAAAGCAATTCATTGGACCCTGATTCGTAAAAATATACTCGCCCTCTTTCTCTTGTATAATGTATTGCCTCGATTATTATCACTCCAAAACGACCTTATTTCGCAGTCGAATTTGTGTATCGATTCTATGACTAAAAACTAAAATTTTCATATCAAAAATATCAGCTATTTATACTACCTAAATATGGTATTTATATAAATTCATTATGTATTGGTATATAGAGGCGACAATCTATAAAAATTCTCTTATGTAGATTTGGATTTAAATGAAAGACAGTACTGTATATGGTTATTGGATATATAACATTCAATTACGGATGTATTTCCTTTCTTTTTATAACAAACCACATAAGAAGAAAAATAAAAATATGTAAAAGTAAATTTGGAGAAGTAGTCAATTTAAAGCTCACTTAAAGTTTAAGCAAAAGATAGCATAATTATTAATAATATCCAATTTTAAATCATTGTATTTAAAACACAAACCTTTCCATGATTTTCCATTATAATATTTAATTCAAAAAATTTAAAATATTTTTAATCAAGAAAAAAAATATATATTAAAAGAACTTAAATAAAGTCCATTAACTTATATTTTTCAAAACTCCTAGTAATTAATACCAACACTTTAATATGCAACGGAATATTTTCCATATTAAAATTCCATTAGACCAACAGTTTTGCAAATTTAAAATGCAGATATTAATCAGCTAAGCAAATTGTTTTTTGCTCAGTATAGAATTCCATACTATATTCTCCACCCTCTCTTCCGATTCCTAAAAAATTAAACGACATAGAACTAATTTGAAACAATGCAACAACTGTATTAACTTTTCATACAACTTACCACTTTTCTTTGTTCCACCAAAAGGCATGCTTAAATCTCTTACCAGCCAACAGTTAACCCATACAGTGCCAACTTCAATTGCCTCAGCCACATGACGCATGCGACTACCATTTTGTGTCCAAACAGAGCAACTTAATCCATATTGATTATCATTTGCCAAATTAATAACTTCTTCTTCAGTCTCAAATGGATGAACAGTGACAACCTGCAAACAACAAAACAGGTTGAGGAAACCATTCCAATATGTTCATATCATAACTATAATATTAAATTATAAAACTTACCGGGCCAAATATTTCTTCTTGAGCTACACGGCTGGATGGCTTGATGCTATATAAAAAAATAGAAATCACTTAACAACTCTTTATTATTTTTCAAAAATATTACATCAAAATATTCATACTTAGTAATAACTGTGGGTTCTACAAAATATCCATCGCACAACTCTCCTTTCAAATGCTTCTTTCCACCACCACATTCAATTATACCACCTTCTTGTTTTGCCAATTCGATGTACCCAAGTACTTTCTCCATATGATTTTTGCTGATCAAAGCACCTACCTCGGTTTTTGAATCAGTAGGGTCACCGACAACCATATTACGAGCTTTGGTAACGAACGCATCAAGAAACTTTTGATAAATCGATGATTGAACAAATATACGTGACCCGCATAAACAAATCTTGATAATCAAGATATTAAAAATATTTTTTAATATTATATATATTACAATATAAATTACGTTATAAATTTCATGTTACCTCTCCCTGATTACTGAAGGAAGATCTTATACTATTTGTGACAGCATTTTCGAAATCGCAATCTTCGAAAATAATATTGGCATTTTTGCCACCTAGGAAATAAACATGGAAATCATGAAACTTATGAATCCAAAAAAAATAATGAGAATACAAAATATAAAACCTACCAAGTTCGAGTGAAACTTTCTTTAAATGCATAGCTGCAGTAGTATTGACTTTTAATCCGGATATAGTCCCTATAATTCACAAAAATAGTTTAGAGTGATGAATTAAAGATCTGTGTGAAAAAAAAAGTAATATACGCACCTCCAGTAAAAGAAATCAAATGAACCTTGGGGTGAGCTACTAGAGCTTGGCCAGCATTTGGCCCTAAAAATAAATAGATATTAAAAATATTTCACGTATAGGTTACTTGTTTAGAGCAGCGCGTAAAAAAACTAACCTGTACCAAATACCATATTAACCACACCATCTGGCAGACCAGCTTCTTTTAAGACAGAACAAAGCACTTTAAAAAAGTAAAATAGGTTGAAATAAAAGTTTTATGAATATAAATATGGAATAGTTAAAATGACACGATTGTAAATTGGATGAAAACTTACTAAAAGCCGTAACACTTGTAAACTCGCTGGGCTTACAAATACATGTACAACCCGCTATATGAAAGAAAATATGCATGAATAAATTTATTTTTTTTGTACTAAAGTTTCAGACAATAAAATGTTTACCTGCAATACACGGAGCAATTTTCCAGGTTAAAAGATAGAGAGGTCTGTGTGGGATGATTGTAACATAATTTAAAAATTACGAAACATAGTTTTTTGGGGTAAACGTCATAGGCAGACTTTCATATGATTGGCTGTTTAATTTTACATTATTTATACAGTTTAAAGTACTTTTTAAAAAAAAGAAAACTACTACGAATAAACAAAAAAGAAGTATATAGAAAATTTTATTAGAGTTGTAGGACTCCATATTAAAATAATCAAAATTCTTTTTTGTTTTAGAGAAGTTAGACTTCTTAAAGATAGATAAAATTAGGTTATCACCATGCTAACTTCTCTAAAACAAAAAGAATTTTGATTATTTTTAATAGTGGAGTCCTACAACCCTAATAAAACTTTCTATATACTTCTATTTTGTTTATTCATAGTAGTTTTCTTTTTTTAATTTAAACTGCCAATCATACGAATGTCTGCCTATGACCTAGTATTGCCACCAAAATCAGTTACATACGTATAATAGAGCTTAAATTTATTGGCGATATTAAAATTAAAATTAATACAATAATGACGACATTTGATTAATAACATATATAAGAATAATAATAACAATTTATGATGAAAATTTTTATTTCTTTGAATATCGTAATACAAAATATTTTTCTAAATAGAACACACACAACTTTATTCATCTTATCGAATTAGGAACAAAAAAACTGTATTTCAAAATAATAATAATCATATTTTAAGTATACAACCTGTGTAAATAGAAGCATAAAACAGAAATGTGAGGATCAAATTCTAAATGATATTCGGAAATAAAAAGAAAATACTATACAATCTGAAGTGCCTGAAATATATAGTTTATGAAAAACTTATGGATGTTGAGGGAGAAAGCAATATGTATATGAATCTTGAGATAGTTGTAGATATTTCCCAAACAGTTAATGAATTAGAAGTAAATAACTTTTGCAAGTTTATTGTCATTATATTATGGTCTAATAATCTTCCCAAACAAAAAAATAGCTTCGAAGTATTGCATTGAATTTTAAAAAAATGGTAGATTACATTAAAGATTTTGAACGGGTAAAAAAGCTTCCAAAAACTTGTAGTAGACGTAACAAAATATCTTTTATTAGTAGCATAAAAAATTTAAATTTGAAGCTTTATATGTGTATTGAATTTGGATGTAAATACATTCTATACATTTGAATTGAATGTAATTTGACTTATAACTTGCAGTGATAATTAAATAAATTCTAATAAATTGAATAAATATAATAATAATAATAATAAATACTTCGATTATTTCTTCAAAAATCTTGTAATCTTGTGATTCTATTATTCTTGTGTGCAGATTGAAAATTTAAAAAGCGATTACGTAACTGATTTTGGTGGCGATACTAGGCACGTTTGTTGAGTTACGAGATCTGGTTAAATATTTAAAATTTCAGATCAGATTTTAAACAGCTAGAGGGTTGGGGATACTAGGTTTGTGAGGAAAACCTGTCATCGGGCTTTCAATTATATTTTGTGTCTAAAACTTTGATCGAAGATATCTTAACAACCACTGCATTAGTTTCTCGTATTTTAAGTTCTTTTATTTTCTACTTCAGAACTTTTCAAAATTTCAGAAAAACATGATATATGAATTCTTTTATAAATAATTTTATTGAATGTATGAATTACTCACATATAATGATGAGACCTCTGAGTTTTTAGTTAATAATGAAAAAATTAATAATGCGTTATTAATATTATTAATAGTTAATAACTTCGATCATCGCTAATAATGTCGATATGATGAATTAA